GTTGTTTATTTAGTTTCAGCTTTGAAACAAGAGGGGAACAAAAGGGTGTTCATTTAAAAAAAGAAAAGCGCTAAAAACGGGGAAAAAAAAAAAAAAAAAAAAAAGCACTAAAAGTGAAAAATATGTGCGTTAGAGGAAAAGTAAGCACCTACAAGGACCTTTATAATTAATTTTCAAATATAAGGACTTATAAGCTTCTGTAAGGACCACTATGAACCCTGGACGTGGTAAAAAGCAAAAGATACATATTTTGACCTTAATACAGTAACTTCAAATGAAATAATAAACAGAACTGATGGAAATTTAATCTTTGAAAAAGCCAAAATACAAGAAATTTCGAAAATATCTTACTGTACAAAGATGTCTCATAGTGGAGTCCTTTTAGCACATAATGCATTGTAATAACCAATATGTTGATGCCAAATTGAATGTTTAGCACAGATGAGGCAAGGGGGGAATAAGCAGTGCAGTAATCTCATTTACAATAGTTGCATTTAGCAAATTAAAAGTTTCACAACTGCAAATAATTATAGCTGGTTTATGAAACTCAAATTCAATATTATTTTCGAACTGATCCATGTTTATGCTCGCAAATGAACCATGCATACTAAAAGTGTTTCCAGGTATGCATATTCATATATAACTTGAAAAATAAAAAAAAAAAAAGAAGTCTAATCCAGTGTCTCCTAAATTGTTGACACTGGCAGTCAACTTTATTGTAAATTAAAGAAATTTAAGCACAAAAATAGCAATATTTACAAAACAATGACAGCAACTTGCATTTTAGTTCACATACACACACATATAAGGTAGCACATATATTATATATAGAATCAATTTCAATATACAGGCTACAATGTTATGCATGGCAAAAATTTGTGCAAGCACTTTCTCAATGCAATTAAAAATTTCTAATGCAATTAAAAAAATTCTTGAAGTGCAACAAAATTTACCTTTGATGAATAAAAACTAATTTTTTTGTTTGTTTATTTTTATTTCAAATAGAAGAATTTAGCCACTCATTAAAATATCTTCCTTTGAAAGTATGTAGCATAAACTCTATTCTGCACCCCTTGAATCAGTTTAAAATTCAGTAAATGCAAATTGAAGTTCCATTGAAAAAGTGGAAAAGTGTTGTCAATAAAATTTTGATCATCAAAACACAGCAGTAGACGATGTTAAAAGAATTAACTCCTACATTGATGTAAATAGGAAACTGAAAATATCCAAGTCTATACTGCTGGCATCAAAACTGCTTGTCCATGAAGACGGCATGCAGCAAACATTAAATTGCATGATATTACTAGCGGGGATATGCAAGTGATTAACATTCCAGTGCATGCACATAAAGTGGTTACGAGTAATGTCATCTAGAATGTGCATATATGGGAAGACTATACAGTGTATTTCTTATCTAAAATTAGCATTTCAGCATCGGTTTGTGTAAAGGTTGTGTTACACCTTGTGAAAGGAGAAATTTCTACCAGCATGTGTTGGAAATTGACTGCAGCTATTGGAACCACAGTTTACTGTTCCACGACACTGCTGTTTGTGATCCCATGACTGTCAGGTGAATATGGAACTGATGGGTCCAGGAGGGCCATACTAATTACTATGCAGGATTTTAGCCACCCTGGACCACTAATGCCTGAGAGGACAGACCTGTTGTCCTTGCAGGACTGTACAGACAACTCACATATCCTGAGACAAGAACTTCGCTCATGTACAGGATGACAAGGGTCCTCACAGACAGTGCAACAATGTCTCAAGCACCACAAACTCTCAGTATGGTGACCATTATTGTGGCTTTCCTTGAAACTGCAGAAGAGAACGCACCTATAATGAGATGACGAACAAATAAATTAGAGAAATTGCATATCATTTTCCAGATGAATCCAGGTTCTGCATGCTGCATCACAATGGATGTGTGGCACATCAAGGAATGTTGCCAACTTAAATTTGTTATTGTCATACAGGCTCAGCACCTGGCATGATTATATGGATTGCTGATGGCTACACATCAGAGCTACCTCTTATTTGCATAAACGATAATGTGACCTAACATGAAAGTAACAGAGCCTAACATTGAAAGAATGTGTAGTAAAGAGATATATACAGGAGTGTCAGAATTAAATGTAGGATGCCTTTTGATAAACGGATGTAGAAAGCCACTGCTGCTTGGAACAGGGCTACAACCAAAAAATGAAATTCGATTTAATTTATTTAACCCCTTTTTTTATTTTGCATGAGAAATATAAAACAGAAAAAGTTCCCCTTGGAGGACAATGCAACACTAACAAAATCATAACAAAATCATGCCAGGATGGGAGAACCTGTAGCTTTAAAGGACTGTTCAAAATAGTTTATCAGAGCAAACACACATCTGGCACTGCCAATATAGTTCCACAGTATTTTGATTTCGCAAATTTGCTAGAAGGAACACACAGTTACAGTTACAGTTACATAGGAGTTACACTGATTAGAGTTACACAGGAATCGAACCAAAATGTTGCCAAGCTTTGTCACTTTTGGCGGTTTCTCGCCTACTCTGGTGGCAAAAAATTAGTCACAAAACCCTCATCAGCTTGACGGCAAGATAGCCATTAACCTCTGTTAAATGGTACTCCTGTAACCCTATTTCTTCAGCAATGCTTCACATTCTGGGGCCTTTCATGTTACATTACACAAGAGATCCATTCTCAAGTGACAAAAAATTTCATAACTGGTATAGGGAGTCATGCCACTCAGTGCAAACTCTTAAACTAGTGCAATATTTGTAGCAATTTTCAACTGTTTCTTTTTCGAGCAAAATTATCCATAATTATGTTCAAAATACTTAAAAAAGATTTTTCATCTAAATGAAAAAATAAAATATACTTTTAGGTTTAGAGCATAAAAGTAGTACTAGCTCTCCATTTTTAATGAAAAGAATTTTCAAGTGTACATTTACACACTGATGCATGGCAACATTAAATACATGAAAGGATGCAATTAACGCTTTACTGACCGATTGCCTATCAATTGGTATTTTATCGCCAATGCCTATCAACCGATAGCCTATTAATCACTCTTTTCTCGGGACTATCTAATAATAGCCTATCAATCAGCAGCCATGGCAATAAACAATTGCCATTTGCTTTATCATCTGCATTTTATTATTAGCGTTGAGGTACATTGCTCATTTGCGTTAAGTGCATTGTTTCGTAAACCCCCACATTTTCACACCATTTTTAAAACATTTACCTTTCACGATGAGCGAAAAAAATGGTACTGGAGAGTTTTATTAAGACGATTCATCAGATTGTCCTGAATTCAGGACAGGGAGAATCTGTGGCTGAGCGGCCAGTCGGACGTGCATATGCTGTTGAACTGCTAGCGGTCGGTAAAGTGTCAAGTAGAAAGTGGCATGTGTACTGAGAAGTAATAAATGAAAAAAATACCAGAAGTGATTTAAGTATGCTACACAATACTGCACATCTTCATAATTTGATCACGAACATCTTTCTGGCCACATGAGAAATATCTGTAGCAAATACTGGGCTTTAAAATTAAGAAAGAAAATTTAGAATTAACATACTCTAGAAATCTCTTAACTAAAAATCCATATCCAAGAATTTTTCCTTCCAATTTTCTCCAGTTTTTAAATTATATTAAAAACATTATAAAATGCTTATTTTAGAATATTATTCTTTAATTAGAAATTTCTTAGAATTTCTTTAATTACTAAGAAAGCAATTTTTAAAATTAATTGTAAACTGCATTACAGAATTTTATACTTTCGGATATCAAGCAGAATGATTTGCTGGATATTATTACTATGTAAAACATAAGTACAGTAAAAGCTCGACTACCCAGAAAGCTTGGGTAATGATGAATTCCAGATAGTCGATAATTCAAGTCAAAAAAGCCAAATCAATGGGGGAAAATGTCTGCCTAAAAATGATATGAACAGTCATCTTATTTTTTACCAACTTGAGTAAAAGTCTACATTTAAAATTTTACAAAATTTCAAAAAACAAAAAAACTAAATTTCAGACATAAAAATCAACATATTTTGTTGACTTTAAACATTAATGTAAAACATATGATCCAACAAGTGAAAGTTAGCAAAAATGTCACCAATCATTTTGGCAGAAATTCAAATGAATAGATTGCTCTTTATTTAGTTAGCTAATGAAGAGATACAAATTATGGATACAGCATATAAAAAACTTAAATCGTAATTTTTCACATTGGCTTTTATTGATTCGTGGATTTTGTAATTTTAAAAATACTCCACTCCATGCTGTCCAAAATAAAAATAATTGTTTTCAAAATGTGAAGGAAAACAGAACTTAAATCATTCTGCAAAAATGAAACAGGCTTATTGAGAATTAATTGAATTTACATTAAACCAAAACAAACATCTTAGGATTGTGTTATGACATCATGCTTATTCCTTACTAGAGCTAAATCACACTGTTTGGCAACAATATATGCATTTTAATAGTTTTATGAGCTATATAATGGCATTAAAACTATCTCATTTACCAAGTTTTCGAAGCAAATTTTTTTTTTTTCTAAAATTTTGAAATATTTACGTTATTTGAGCTTTCTGGTTAACTGAAATGGATAGTTAAGCTTTTATTGCACTGTAAATATGTACTTAAGTTTTTCATAGTAATTATACCATGCAAATAATTCCACCTCATATCTGAAAGTTTTAAGACTTTTCAGAATGAATAATTCTAAATATTCTGCAAAGTCTTAAACTTTCAGACATCAGGTAATATTATTTGCAGAATATTATCACTACATAAAACATAAACACTGTAAATATGTGGAAAATCTAGCACTAAGTTTCAGCTAAAATTTAGAAAGCACAAAACTAATAGACATGCACAATAATTTTAATTATTAGCCTTTACATTTTGAATAAATTTGATTACATCAAGCAGCAGTATATTGAAAATATGATAATTAATTTCTAAAACACTTATAATATAATTTTATTCCCTCACCTGAATTCCAAATCTCTGTCTTGCTTCAGACACATCATATATATTTTCTGATAAAACTAGTTTAAACTTTGGATCAGAGATATCAGACATTAATTGATTATCATGCCACAAAGGAGGAAAACCTGGAACTCCAGAAACAGGTCCCGGTTCATGAAAAAAATCACTCTGTTCATCATCCGCTGAAAGATATTTTTACATGTAAGTATAACTCAGTAGAACTGCAAATACATATCCAAGGAAGCATTAAAAAGAACAATAATCAAATTAATTGAAAGAGTTGGTTTAAGAGCCCACAGGCAGCCCAGTATCAATTTTTATACATTTAATGCATATCTGCACTGTACCCATTATCAGTTATAGTGCAACTTTGTGAAAGAAATAAAAGGTGAATGAACTTGACAGAGGATCACTATATAACAACCAAATATAAATATTAATAAAAATAAGCTGGCTATCCCTCTGAAATCGTACTTTACATTTTTTTAATCAAAACTGTCAATCAGCAGGGCCATGAAAATCCTTCTGTTGGAAATTTCATGTTGGTCAGCCTCTCAACGACAACTGCTGCATATTTTTATTGTCTATGTCTTGTTTCAAACTTAGGCCCTTCAGCACAGCAGTCACTGCCACTAACCGCTATCTCGGTTGGGCAGCTACAAAATATTAACCCTTTCGTGATGGCATACCTTTATTTAAGATGTTCACATGGGATGGAAGGAAGTCGAAGGCAGTTGTTGCACAGGACAGGGATTTTGAATCGCTAAGCTTAACTTTACGAAAAAAATCACAAAAAAGATTTTACATTCTAGCATCGTAATTTTTGATACCATTTTAGATTATTACTTAAGCTCTTCATGCTAAGCTAAAATGCTAAGCTTAAGCTGAAATCTGCATGTAATAATCTTTTTTTTTTTTCTTTATTTTACTTGAAAATATATTTTAAAAATTGCTTATACTGTAAAATAATTTTCAGAAGCACTATTCAAATTATTCCAAAGTTTTAACTGACAAAATTCATTAATAAAGTTTAAAATTTATAAAACAACACAACACAGACTATTTACAGTAAGAAGTAACAAAATTTTAAATGAGGACCAAGTGTGGTAAATCTTGAAGCACAGAGAAACACAAAGTCCTACACTGCATGAACCACAAGCACAATATGACTTGCTTTTTTCTTTGTTTTAGCACAGTTTCCAAACACAATATACACCTTCCTTGAGTTAAATTCACCCTTTTCGTTCACACAAAGGAAAATCTGGATAAAATCTGGAGAGCATTTTGAGCAAAACTGTTTGTTTCTTCAACAATCAAATTTAATAGATCACCATCAAAGAAAATATTTAAAAAAATATCAATTTCTTTTTCAGCATATATTATAGAAGTTATTAATGGTGGTCCAGTAAAATGTATGGGGATGCAGTTCCTCATTTAGGCACTCGCTGAGCTTTGTCTCTGACAAAATGTCCATATCAGAATCACTAAAAGTATCACTTTCTAACTTTTTTTAAAAAATGAATCATCACTCTCATCTGTGCCAGTAATTGGTTCATTTATCATACGAGTATATTCTTCCTCTGATAAATAACATCTTTGCGGCATAATAGACTAAAGTTGAGGCTTGCTGAAATACAAAGGAAAAGACCCGAAATATATCTGAAGGCAACGTAAAATGTAGCAGAACCTCACATAATATAAACTAACACTGTACAGAGTTTAATGTGAAAAACAATTCATATTGGGGATCAGTTCTGTAATTTATGCCTGCACATGTTAAACACGTTAGTTAACATTAAGTATTAAAAAATTTATGAGAGACTAAAAAATATTGTAACAGCAGGTAGCTATGAAATCACTTTAATAGTTTTTTCCGCCATATAAATAAAAATACTCACCTTCTCTACTTTCATCATTCGTCAATCCACATTCACTATCGCTACTACTAACTCCACTGCTACTGGCATCACTAAAAAGATATATATCAAAATCAAGATGCCAGTCAGCAAATAATGAAGATGAATATGATTATGACTGAGCTTTTAAAAGTTAGCTATAAATAAATTCAACTATCTACAAATAATAAATGCAATATGTTATACTGATTTAAGCTTCAGTTAGCATTATACAGTCCTAGAAACATTTTTCATAATTCCTAGTAATCACGATTTACCTAAAGACTTTTTTATTTATACGAGAATGAATCATATGTATCTCAATAGCTTCACCATCTTCAGGAAAAAAATTAAATGTATTTTTTCATAAAAACAATTAATTTTATGGATAAATGATTATGTAATTAGAAAGTGCTTATAAAGTTATAATAATATGCACATTGAATAAAAAATACATATGACGACTAAATAAAATAAGAACCTTTTCAAAAAACCGATAGATTTTAAAAATGAATACTAGTTACTAACCAGGCTAATATACTTTACCTATAAAGACCCTATCACATATGCTTCCACTATGCGGGATTGGACGTCATAAGGGACATTTCTCAGAACCTGCACATTTCCATAAAGCTTACTTAGCTAAGTTACCATTTTCTTTTACTATAGACTTGAACGCGAAACAGTAATCAATTATCACTCAGATAAGGATCACATGATCCTTCAGAAGGGAACTTTCGTTTGATTCGTTGATCTATACGCGGGACAGAGCTGCAGACAGAAATTTTTTGCCAAAGTTTCAAAATATCCCGCATAGCTGGGACATTGTCTCCTAGGCAGAGGAGCTATTTCCTCTAGAAATCCTCCTGTTTAAACCAATGCTATTAGAATTTCTTTTCTGAGAAAAGCCCTGTCTAGTTAGGACTGTCACTAGATGTGATTTTCCTTAAGTAGAAAATGAAAAATGCTATCCATATCATGCAGCTGACATAAGACACAATGATTCAAAATGACTGATCTGATTTTAAGTGAATTTCTGTAACCCCACATAGTATTGTTTACAGATGTTATGATTATTTGCATATTGATTGCTGCATACAGCATTTTTCAAAACGTCGTTCAGGTAGAAACACGTCCATTGTTTCAGTGAGAAACAAATTAAATTATTGAATCAGGACTCTGCATAAGAATAAGAATTTTATGTAGGAACACAGTTCAGCTAAAAGAGAAGAGAAATAGGCAGTTGATATTAAAGTAAATAAAAATAACTTGCAGTTAGATAACTGAAGCAATGTGCAATGTTATTTCTAAAAACAAAGTGAAATGCCAAATGCTTCAATATAGAAGTCTAAAATTAAAAGATTACTTACATTCTCTAGGAATAAAATGGATATTATATGGTAAGGCTACTTACTCATAGTGTGAATTACAGCCCATATGGAATTGCATGATTAAATTTGGGAGTTGCACAAATTTTAGAAAATAAAAAAACTTCTGGACCTCAGTGATTTATTATTCACTCAGTGAATTAATTCAATATAGTTTGACAACATTCCACTTGTTGTCATGTCATGAGTTTGTGATAGTAAAAGAGGTCATTGTACCACCACTGGCTAACATCGCATGACAAAGACAGATGCAGCTGGTTTTCTATAAGTAAAATTTCAAAGTGAACTATGAATATGCTTTCTTTATCCCATCAACAAATGAACTGTGTTTTCTTGCCAGTATTTATTCTGAATTAGGATATGTATTGTATATATGCTTTATAGGGGCAGAAAGGAGGAATAGTTCTTTCCCACATCTCCCCTTCAATCCTTTTTCACTAGTTCCCAGTTTGTTAACTATATTATCAGTTTGTTTCATGATGGACAAAATTCTTTTTAAAATTAACAACATATCAACTGTCTATCTCCTTTACAGGGAAGAGAAAATATTTTCACTTGACTATAGTTTTCCACCTGTTTTTTTTTTTTTTGCAAGCTATCATTGACTTATTATGAAATTCTTACAGCATTCTTACGCAAGAAAACATGACATTTTACCAGTTCTTAATTTTGTGAATTTCTGTATTATAGAGCTAAAGTATAGAATTTTTTTTTTTTTTTTAAGTTTTACATCTTATTTTAAATATATCATGGCTTTGAAAACAAATACTTTCTTACATCAGGATTGCCACTCAAACATGAGAATGAAATTCCCTGATTTTTCCAGGTGAGTTTTAAGAAAATTCCAGTCTATCCGCATAGTGTGCGGTGCTAAAGGTAAATTATGGTACCACTTGAAAAACAAAAATTTGCCAATTATATATACTTACAATACATTCCATCTAAGTAATAAATAAAATCAAAGAAATTTGTTGATTTTTCAATGCAATGTATGAACTTTTAAACATTGGATTTTCTCCAACATGAATTGTGATAAAATTATGTCATGAATGACAGCTTTATTATTTAAAAAATATTATAGATAAATTCTGGAATGGAAGTCAGTGTTCACAATAAGGTGCAGTTATATCGATCATATTAAATAATATATAATTGTCAAACAACAACCTCAGTAATATGCTTGCTAAACTCTGAAAGAAGTTTTTTTAAAAAAGTCAACAGAATTTTGATGAAAAACTTTTAATATAAGCACATATAATACAAATTAAATGCAATTTTTTTATCAGAATTCAAGGCCAAAAAAATTATTTAGCATATTTAAACAAAACATTAACAGAAAAATAGTAATGAAAAATTAGCACCAAATTAGATTTCTTGTTTTAATTCTGCAATTTGTAAGTCAATTGAAGAAATATCTCTGCTGTATTTTTGTTTTTCTGACTCCAAAATTTTAATCTGTGCTTTTCTTTTGCCCAATAATATTTTTTTATGTTTACTATCACACAACTTTTTATCTTCAAGTGCTTGATGATACGCACCAAGAGCAGATCTGACATATCATAACATATCAGGAGTTATATTAATATTCATCACACCTCCATTAACTTTTACAGCATCATAAACAGTTTGCATTGCTGTTAAAGAATTTCCCCGAAGGTTTTCCACTAACCTATCATTATTAACTAAAAAAACCACTTTCTACTGTGGCACTGTCATGTGATAAATTAAAAGTAGTTTTACAACACTCCAAAGTTTTTCAAAATCTGAATTATTAATCAAGTTGCATTGCAGCATAATTAACATTCTTTCCAAACAACCTTACTTCTGAATAAAAATTCTTTAAACTGCACTTTTGATTTATCTGTCACTGTTGAATTTATCCATTCACTTTTATACAGTATATGCATTAACCCACTAACCGCCAAAACTACAAAGAATGTTTCTTTTCTCATGAAAATAATAACAAATACTAAATTAAGCATTTATAACCTAAATTTAGATTGAAAATAAAAAAAATGCTCTTACCTGTGGAAAAAAAGAGTGTTGCGTTCACACAACATCAGCAGAATTAGACAACGGATGCTTAGTGAGTGGGATTGTACTCGTGTGATGTTTTTTTTTGAGTGGAGCGCAGGATTACTTTTTAGCTGTATAACGTTTTATAAATCTACAAATCACTTTACATGTAATTAATTTAATATTAAAATATAAATTGTATTTCTTTTACAAATACAGATTATTTCAACTGAAAGATTCAAGCATGAAAAGCTTGATTACAATCACGATGTAAAGCTATATTACATACTTTGCATCTATAAACAGTCTGGCTATAATACTCTTAACAACAAAGTCTTTTGTTATCAACGGACTTTACGATAAAATGTCTACTATCTCCATGCAATCGTTTTTGAATGCTGAATTTATTAGGTCTTCCTGTTGCTGATCTATTTCTGGCTCATTCTACACTCTCAATAGGAGTTTTCAAAAGGAATAATGCATTCTCGTGTCTGAAATCTAAAAGAGACTTTATATTTCCAGTAGTAAAAAGTGGTGATATTTAGTAAGTTTAGATACGGTCTCACCTCATATAATTTATCAGTATTGTCAATTTGACTATTGTCAAATGCAAGTTCTGCTTCATATTCTTGTACTGCAAACGTGATATCGATTCACTTACAACAGGAACAGAAATGTCCTTATCAAAAGACCAATACATTTTTTCTTGAGGTAAAGAATGATATCCTGTAGGCAATAATATTATTCCAATAAATCTTCTCATATAGGCTTCAGATGCAATAAATTCTGGGCAATTTTTTTTTTTTTTTTTTTCTGAGCGTATATATTTGTCTGTTCAATGAGAAGAGAGTAAATGTCTAAACCAAAAAGAAAATCGAAAATTTTTGCACTAGTTTTACCTTGTATTTTGTCTTTTATAATTTCTCTTCTATCTCTTTCTTCATGTTCTTCCTGAGACATAACTAACAGTTCCTTTTCTATCCACTTCAAGATTTCAGTCTTCTGCTTTTTAAACTTTTTAGTATGACTATAACTGCTTTTAGAAGGCTGAAACTTACTTCTTACGTGAATTTTAACTTCCCCAGCAGTATCATTTGGTAAAATATCATCATCATTATTTAAAACATTGCCATTCCTTTCTTCTTCGTCACTAGTTTCTGCAATTTCTGGGGGAACAACAACAATATCAGTTTCATTCTGGTCATTATCAACATTATCATCATCTGTTTCTTCAACAAAAAATCTTTGAAGGGCTTCTTCTAATGTAAGATACCTCGTTCTAGGCATTTTTAAACAACCAGAACATGAATCAGAACATCGAAAAGAATGAGTGAAAAAAGAGATTGACTACCCGTTTCTTGCTGATGTTACGTCAGCGCAACCACCTGTTTTCCCTTGCTTCCCAACACAAATATAAACATCTGACTGATGTAATGTTCTGATAAACGGTGACCTTGACTAAAAATAGATCACTCATAAAGACAGCGATTCTTTCGTTAAATATTTTCAGCAAAAATACCCGGTCGAAAATATTGCTTAAAGTATGAGATTAATTATTATAAAGAAAATGATTGTTGAAGGCAAATATTTTTTTTTACAGAAATAATCTTCATAATATTCCCTACACAAAATCATCAGCTGGTATAAAATATCTGAGGTAGTTATATTTA